CACGAAGCAAAATTAATATACGATAATTATTGGGTAAAATAATAGAGTGAGAGTAATTCTTTTAAGCTATCATTCCAAGTCTATAATCCTGCTTACTTCCATTCTAATTCTCACTGAGGAGTTGTAGTTAGCAAAATTATTGATTTTTAGTAAAAAGTAATCGCAAGAGGTTTTTGCTATCTTTTAGTACAATTCAGGCGAAAAAATTATTTCGGTTTAATCATCACAAGTAATATATCAATTGATTTACATAACCTCGCGGAGTGTTGTTAATTGATTATTTCTTAGTGAGAAAAATATAATTGTATTAGCAATAAACAGTTATTCCTAAGAGAAATATATGTAGAAGCTAAGATTTTATTATTATCACGCTATCTAGTGAATTCAATGATTCCCAACTCTTTTAAATATAAATCTTCCGAAAGTTATTTAGTTTCAACTTAAGCAATTTAAATTTTCAACAAACAAAACTTCATCAATTTGATTCACTCAAATAGTAGTAAGAACATTATAAGTTTGTAGCTAGATTCTCCAATCTTTGTGGGACGATATCATAAACTATATTAGAATTTGATAGAGTACGAGTAGCAAAATCTTATACGCATTGGCCTCGTCAAATTGCCCAGGGGCGATTTTTGACTTTTTGGGTAAAACTTTAGAAAACTCATTTTTATGCATTGGAGTTGATTTATTTAGCGTTTATTGATGTAATTAAGTAACTTGTGACTAGATACGAGCGAATTGGTGGTTTAATCAAGGGGTAAAGCTATAGTTGAATAGTGAATTGTGTTCGTGGCATCGAGGTAAGTGTTTGGTCTAACATTAGCTTGAGGGATTAGGAGTTGTGTCTTATTTGCTACATGTTAATTGTGGAGTACGACGTATAGGCATGGTGACGAGTATCTATACGTTGGTGTCAAGCATGCCCGTGAGTCTTGTGTTATAAATGGTTATGACTCTGTTGTGGTTTATTGTGCCTCCCATGTTATATTGATATTATTGTTCCATTGTCGGGATGTTGTCGAGATATTATCGTTCCCTTGCCGGGATATTTTGAGATATTATTGTTCCCTTGCCGGGATATTATTGTGATATTATTTTCTCTTGTCGGGATGTTTGTTTGATATTATTGTTCCTTTGCCGGGACTCCTTGTGATTATTGTTGGCTTGTAACTGGGAGTGGGTGGTACGCCTACCACAAGATATAATTAAATGGGAGCGGGTGGTATGCCTACCAAAAGATATAATAAAACGGGAGCGGGTGGTACGCCTACCACAAGATATAATTAAATGGGAGCGGGTGGTATGCCTACCAAAAGATATAATAAAACGGGAGCGGGTGGTACGCCTACCACAAGATATAATGAAAACGGAGCGGGTGGTATGCCTACCACAAGATAAATTAAATGGGAGCGGGTGGTACGCATACCACAAGATATAATGATATGGGAGCGGATGGTACGCCTACCACGAGATAAACGAAATGGGAGCGGGTGGTACGCCTACCACGAGATAAGTGAAAGGGAGCGGGTGGTACGCCTATCACGAGATAAATGAAGTGGGAGCGGGTGGCACGCTTGCCACAAGATATGAGGAATGGGATAGGGTTGCACGCCTGCAACAAGATGTGAAAGTAAAATCTACCTTTGGTTTTCTTATCTGTGTTAGTAGTTGGACTTTGGTTCCCTATTTAGTTTAAAGGATTAGCTTGTCGAGCTCACATTAGTAGGTGTCATCACGACTGCGAAGGTGGAAAATCCGAGTCGTGACATTAGGGAAATAAGTTTCCAACTATATCACATAAAATCTTCTTGACATACTCATGTCAAATTGATATAAAAAGAGTAAGGGTTCTTCCTTTCATAATGCCCTAAAAACTTGCTAAAAAACAGAAGGTTCTTACATTCTAAGTAGAGATTATGTGTAGAAACTGGTTCTTGGCTAAACTTCTCGTTAAACTTCTCTTAAACACATTCAGTTAAAGAGAGAAAATACAAACAAGACTTAACTTGCAGCATGACTTACTATTGCAACTTGAGTATCTGTATGAACTTCCTTCCCTTTCTTTGTACGAGTTGTAATAAACATTTCAGACTTTGATGATTCCTCGTTGTTCTCTTTGGTTGCGCCCTACAAATTACATCAAATAAGATATAAAAAACATCATTATGTTCCGATAAAGTATAAAAAGAAATGAAAGTCAGATTACAAAGTGTCGACTAAATATTACCAATGCCACACGCACTCTTGCAAAATTAATAAGTCCCATTCGATGCCTTCACTTTTTGTTTCCTGTTTTAAGAATTTAATTGGCATATAGACTAACAACAAAAGAAGCATATTAATTAATAAATTAAAAAGGAAAAAATATATACTGCAACAATAGGTAGAAAATGTAGAAATGCACGGTTTAATCTTACTTGGACATCTTCGTCATCCCAATACTCAATCAATTGACAGAATTGAACTTCAGGTATTTCATTGGGACGATATACACTTTTTTTCCTTGAGTCTCGTTCCATTAAGTATTAGGATTCTACTTTGACATTGAAATTAGAATTTTGAAATACTTCTATTATCATTGCTTCCTCCCAGGTAGGTTGGGTACAAATGTAGCAAATATTTTACTTTCCCAAACACATTTAATTATTTTAAGTAAAGACTAAAGAATGAAAGGATATATAACTGGAAGAACAAAGTAAAAGAAAAGNGTGTATAGGTATTGTTATTAAAATGTTTTATCAAGTACAGGACCCAATCTTTTAATTGCAAGTATGAAACTTCATAATTTTATAGATAATTCAGTTTGTAGTATGTATCCCAAAAGAAGTTCCATTATAACAAAGTTGTGCGACAGAGTAAGGTTCAATATTGGAAGAATTAACACTTAATAAACACTCATAGTTGTTCCAGTTTATTAGATGCTTCAGCAGACTTGAAACGAAAAGAAAGAGTAGAAGACCTCAGTTTTAACTTCCCATATTTAATTCAAATTAGCCAAACAAAGCTACATGAAGTTTTTATCCATATTAAACTTCCTGGAACATAGTTAGTTAGATGAAGTTATCTACTTATAGGTTATTTTAGTTTCTACTAACTGAACAGCGGTGGTCCTCCGTTTGTATTATATAAAAGTTACACAAACGCTTAACAATATAACCTAAGTTTGGCAAAATTAAAGTTTGGATCCTATAATAAGATAGGGTAAAGAAAGATGTACCTCAGCGGGATCAATAATAGCATTGTACTTCTTTATAAAAGGCGAACGTGATTCTTCATTGAATTAAAAGATAGACAGCCAATATCATAAAAAGTGGAAAGAACTACAGGAAGAAATAGGAAAAGCTTGCATCTATGTACAAAGGAAAAAACCTGAGATATTTTTTTCCCCAATATAAATTGAGAAAAAAAATTAAAGGTAAATATTGATCTTGAATAACCAATTTGCCGTTTTATCTAAGCTTAAACCCATAAGATTTTTGCACAAGCACACTCTTTAAGTTTAAGAGTCATATATACCTTCAATATACAGAATCTCAACAATTAGTCTACACAAAGATATTCTCAAACCATGTATAAAAATACAAATAAAACTCATGTATTATTGGACACAGCAGGGAAAAAATAGGTATTAAAAGGAAAAAAAATCATAATATACAAAAGGATTAACACAATAGCATGAGTTACATTGTGATGCTCCAACTCAATCCCCTCCGCCCAATTTCCACACAGTCAAAAGAATCATCAGTTGAAAGTTCTAATCAAACTTAAATTTGTTTGTAATAGGAAACTCTTTGAATTATGATTAATCACAGTGATAATACATTCAGTTGTCACTAATTTAATGTCGTGAAGCATCTCTCATGAAGTAATACATCTTCAATTGAGAAACAACAATGAGCACTTATCTAACACCATATTTCTCTAAACTTTTGTCAACAAAAAAAAACTCTCAAACGGCTTGAAAAGGAATGCACACAGTTAGTCCTTTAAATCCCAGTTGGGGGATTTAGGTAGCATTTTATTTCCACATTCTAAAAACTTTTAAAAGTTTCAGAAGAGTAAAGAAGTTAAGAAACAAAAATATTCAAACACCTTTAAAAACAAAGGCTAATTGCTGAAGTGCAACCCCTGAGGGGCCATCACAGTTAACCCAGAAAAGAGTATCGCTAACGCTTTCCTTGATTCGAAGGACTTTTGGTCAAGCAACAGAGTCCACAACTAGTCGCAATTTCTTTCGGACAAACACAGAGAATTAAAGACCAACAATGGCCGATTGGAACTTTGACTGCAGTGCCTATTCATCATCTGGTTAGTCTTTTTTCCCTAAATTCATTGTTCCTGAATTTTATACCAAGGCTGAAATATGGTTATATTGTTTTTTCAATGCAGGATCGATCTCTTGACTTTCATGCATTATGTGCACTATATGTTGTAACTGGTAATCCCTTTCATCTTGCATTTAGCTTCCACACCCCATTTGTACCCCAACCCCCACACTTCTTAGTTGCACTATTATGTTAAACTATCGCCAGTTGTGACGACCCAAAGGGATCATCGCCTGTTTTCTTACCAATTTCGTGCTTTAGTCCCCTCGATTTGCGTGCGTAGTCCGGGCGTATAGCCGGAAATCTTAAATATGAAATTCTATGAAAAATGCTAAAATTTGATATTAAAATGAGTAAATTTGACTCAGGTCAATATTTTGGGTAAACAGACCCGGACCTATGATTTGACGGTCCCGGAGGGTCCGTAGGAAAATATGGGACTTGGGCGTATGCCCGGAATTGAATTCCGAGGTCCCAAGACCGAGAAATGAATTTTTGAGTAAAATTATTTTTCTGAAATTTATAAAGAAAATTGTAATGAAAATTGGCTAGAACGTGTTGGTATCGGGACCGTATTTTTGTTCCAGTGCCCGGTACAAGTCTTATATGTGGTTTAAGATATTTCTGTGAAGTTTGGTTGAAATTGGACGTCGTTTGACGTGTTTCAGACTTAAAACTCTAAATTTGAAAGTTTATGAAGAAGTTTGAAGAAAAACTAGTGATTTTAAAGTTTGATTTGTTGTTTTTTATGTTATTTTGGCGATTTGACTGCATGGTTAAGTTCATAGAATGTTGTTGAGTTAGTGCATGTGTTTGGCTAGGAGCCTCGAGGGCTCGAGAGTGTTTTGGAGTGGTTTCAAACGTAAAAAAATTGCAGATTTGCTTCAGCTGTTGCAGACCCAGTTTCTTCTATGCGTTCGCATTGTTCCTCTCGCGTTCGCGATGCTCTAATTTTTCCTCCTTTGCGTTCGCATCCCTGCCCTCGCATTCGCGTAGGGTTATTTGACTCTGAGGGCTGAGTCTCCTTTTCTTCATTGCATTCGCGTAAGCCTACTCGTGTTCGCGTAGCTTTGAAGGATTTCCTCTTCGCGTTCGAGTGCCTCTTTCCGTGTTCGCATAGACCAATTTCAGGGCCTCACCATTTTACTCTCCGCGTTCGCGTGCCTCCTTCCGCGAACGCGATGGTCTATTAAGCCCTACCCTTCGCGAATGCGACCAGCCTGTCATGAACGCGAAGGGCAATTTCACCCAGTTATATTTTTAATTTTCAGAAAGAGTAGCTACGGGATTTCATTAAGTTTTCACGAACTCCTTTTTCTCCAAGGTCCTTAGGCATCCATTGAAGCTATCCTTCACCAAAGACTTCGTGGGTTAGTAATCCTTGCATGTTTCCTTCCATTTTCTTCAACATCTCATGAATTCCTAAGCCTAAAACATGTAATTTAGGGTAGAAAATTGGGGATTTGGGTAGAGTTAGGGCTTTTTGATTATTTGTTTTTGATTTATACCTCATTTTGGGGTCTAATTTGAAAAAAAAAATATATATTCGGGCTCGTGGGTAAATGGGAGATATGAATTTGGTCCGAACCTCGCGTTTCGACCAAGCGGTACCGGGGTCGATTTTTGGAATTTTGGGAAGAAAGCTTGGAAATCTATAATTAGGCATTGTGTCTGATTTCTTTAGCATATATTGATATTATGAAGTCATGATTGTATAGACTTGATTGAGTTGGAGCCGAATTCGAGAGGGAAATCGGTTATTGTAGATTGATTTGGCCGTGGAAGTTGAGGTAAGTGTTTGGTCTAACCTTAGCTTGAGGGAACAGAAGTTGAGTCTTTTTGCTACTTACTAATTGTCGAGTATGATGTATAGGCATGGTGACGATATTTATACATTAGTGTCTAGCATGACCGTGAGTCCTTATATTGCGAATATCCTGGTTTTATTATAGCTTCCATGCTTGATTGATGATTTCTATATGTTGTAGAGAGTATGCGAAAGGAAATTGTGATCTTTAAACTTTGTGGAGCGTTGGCTCGAGTTGAAATACAAATTGTGAAGGTATATGAGATACTTAAATCTTTAGAGCATTGGCTCAAGTGATAATGTGAACTATGAGATGAAAGTGAAAGAAAGAGAAAGAGTTATTGGTTTATTCCCTTGCTGAGATGTTTTGTTGTTTTGTTGATTTTCTCCCTTGCCGGGATATGAAAATTTATTGATATTGTTCCTTTGCCGGGATTTAACTGTTTAATTGCATTCCCTTGCCGGGATTTCTATCATTATTAGTTTACTTCCTTGCCCCTTATTTGTGATTGTTATTTGGGTGAGGAAAGAGTGTTTAGCACAAAGGGTGATGTCGTGCACTACTTGATATTGTGAGGAAAGAGTGTAAAATACGAAGGGTAATGTCGTGCCGTACGATGTACCATTCCGTACTGATATTCATTGATTATACTGTGAGAAAAGAGAGTAAAAGCACGAAGGGTGATGTCGTGCACATGATTATTGATACGATTGATTTGGTGAGGACGAGAGTAAAGCACGAAGGGTGATGTCGTGCAAGTTTGTGATTTCTGATTCGTATTGATATTCTGGCCTTGTTGTTTCTTTCTTTATTTGAGATTACTTATTTGAAACTGTTATCTCCCCACAGCATGCTTCCCTTCCTTTATTAATTGATTACTTCCTGTATTTCTTTTCCGTTGTATATATATTCGAACTACGCAGGTTTACTTGGTAGTATGGTCCTAGCCTCGTCACTACTTTGTCGAGGTTAGGCTCACGTACCAGCACATGGGGTCGGTTGTGCTGATACTACACTCTGTGCTATTTTGCACAGATCCAGGTTTTGGACAACAGCAGTAGTAGTGTGGGAGCAGACCTTCAGTCCAGTGAGACACTGAGGTAGCCTTGCAGGCGTCCGCGGGCCTGGCGTCTCCTTTATCTTTCATTTCAGTCTGTTATCTTTTGAATTCGGGACAAACAGTTACATTTTCTTTCAGACATTGTATTTGTCACACCTCCTTTTTTCGTACCCGCGAGGGTACAAGGGAGTTTTTTCCAATTAAAGGACAATCGAAACGAGATTTGTTTATTTATTTCAGAGTCAGCACTTGGGAGATTTAGGGTGTCCCAAGTCACCAATTTTAATCCCGAATCGAGGAAAAGAATGACTCCATATTACAGTCTGCGTACCAGAAATCCGGATAAGGAATTCTGTTAACCCGGGAGAAGGTGTTAGGCATTCCCGAGTTCCGTGGTTCTAGCACGGTCGCTCAACTGTCATATTCGGCTTATTTATCTAATTTTAATACATGTTGAACCTATGTGCAAATT